GTGAATGAATAGGTATGTGTGGAGGTTGATATTAGCGTCAATCTCGTCCTACACAATGACACGAGAGTCCATGTGGTGATTTTTGAAGTAAATTCATCTAAGCAACTCGATATCCATACATCGATGCTCAAGAGAGATCTAAATGAAGTACACTACGGCGGCAGTACTCACAGACACCCAAAGAAAGAGATGATATTCAATATCCTAACAGATTACGAAGCAAAATGCATTCCCGACACTATTTTGAAAACGTACTATACTCTTTGAAAATTCTACTAAAAATTCGTATGCTTCCTAGTACATCACCCGACGATGTCGTTTACTCGAGCATTCGCTAGAAAAATACGAGTTTAGCTGAACTTCTAGCTTAAAGTATATCATATTAGATCCGATCTATAATCGGAATATCATACTTGATAGAACCTCCTACTCAAAGTAGCCGTCAGACTAGACAGGTAATTTGAGTACACCCTTGTCTCTGGAGGACATCATCTAGAGACAGCTACATTCTATTAATCAGTGAAACCCGGTGACGGGAAGCGCGCAGCACCTATATCCGGACTGGCTGAGCGATCGAGTGCCGAATCTCGGCTACCTATTGCAACTAGAAGCCGTCGTGCAGTTACCCCAGCAGTAATTGTCGATACTTCTAGCCAAGATCAAGGTCCTAGTGCTGGCATTCATGTGGCTCCTACACCCACTCGTCTGTTCGAAAATAGCACTCCGCAAGGAGGAAAAGGACCGAGTGGTGACAAACCCGCTGGATCGGGGAAGGCATCAGGTTGCTCAGAAGAGGAAATTGAAAAGCTAAAGCGATTAGTTTCAAGCAATGTCAAACCATCAGGTACGATATCTTGGAATGACGTCGAAAAAGCTTGGATAGATCTGAATCTGCCCAAAAGGACTAAGGCAGGCCTTAGCGGCAAGTGGCATGATATCAAGACCAAATCCGCCAGTGTGAGTGTTAGTGATTCGTCTTTGACACAAAAGAAGACGAAATTGCATTTGAAAGTCGTTACTGTTCCATCTGACACTACTGTTGATGTTAACCATAACGCCGGTAGTAGTAGTAACGATGTAAATCCTACAGTCGTAAAACCAGATCAGTGCGTACCGGCTGATTTGGCTGATGATGTTGTTAAGTCAACCTTCAGGAAAGAATATAAAAAGGCACAAAAGATAGGATGTCGGATGACGTTGAGAAAAACGCCACTAAGAGTCTCCGGCAAGCATATTAAGCCTATCATCTGCGAAGTTAATCGACTGATAAAAAGTGAGTTAGATTTGGTAGTAGGTGGAATATCTTGGAATCAGTTGTCAAATCTAGTTTACGCTGGTGCGATGACAGTTTCTAAGATAGGAAACCGAAAATGTCTTGAAAAACAACAACGATCAAGAGAATGGTTTAAGACCACATATAGCGAATGTGAGAATTTGCGCCGCGTCATCGGTAAAGCTACTAGTGAGTTAAATAGACGGGTGAGAAGTGGGGAAGTAGCCCTTACAACTAAGCAGTTTCATAACATCAGAATGCTTAAAAAGAAATATAAGGTGGAGTCACGGGCTGAAATAACATCTCTTGTAGAAAGATTGAAGTGCAGACTTCAACTTTTGCAATCGCGAATAGCATTAAGAAAAGCAGATGAAGAACGTGTACGCGTTCGTCAGATGCCGCCTAAGATGCTATTCCGGGGCACGTGTACTGATTCAGAACCAGTTGATATCCATCAGATCAGAAAGTTCTGGAAGGAAATTGTAGGGGTGAAAAAGTCTTTTAACTCGAAGAGTCCACGGCTAGTAGCATGGGAACAATCGATGTCAAATATTCAGGGGGAGACTGATCTTAAAGGTCGATTGAACCCTGAACTTTGGCAGAAGGTTGTTCAAAAGATAAAACCATGGAAAGCACATGGTCCAGATAAGTTGCAGGGGTACTGGTGGAAAGTCTTCGATTCAGCCAATGGAATACTTTATGATTTAACTCTTCATCATATCTTATCTGGCGAACCCTTACCGCAGAGGTGGATAACCGATGGACGTATAGTACTCATACATAAATCCGGATCTAGGTTTGATCCCGCGAATTTCAGACCTATAGCTTGTTTAAATATCTGCTACAAGCTAGTAACAGGTTTTATAGCCGCATATTTAGATCAGTATGTGAGGGGGCGAGATATACTGAACAACGAGCAAATAGCATTACGACGGGGCGTGTGGACTTGCTCACATGCTCTCACTCTTGACCAAACGTTAATAGCAGACGCACAGGATCAGAAGCAGAGACTTATTAGCGTAGCTTGGATAGACTATGCAAAGGCATTCGACAGTCTGCCACATAATTATATCAAATGGCTGCTCAAAGTAATGCAAGTTCCTGACCTGTTACGAAAGTTTTTGAAAAGCGTCATGAATAGTTGGAGAGTACGATATGAAGCGAGAAGTCCTAGGGGTAAGATAGAACATAGTAACCATCTAAGGATTCGTTCCGGAGTCCTTCAAGGAGATAGCTTCAGTCCCTTGTTATTCTGTCTAGCGATGGCTCCCATCAGTCACGCAATAAATAGTGTTAAAGGTGGCTATATCACCGCCTCTGGGAAATTTAAAAAGCTGCAAATCTCGTTGTCTCATCTTTTCTATATGGATGATCTTAAGCTGTACGCAAACTCACCTGAAAGTCTAATGGAACAGATCAAAGTCGTAGCATCAATTTCAGAGGACATTAACATGAAATTGAATGTTAAAAAATGTGCTGTAGCACCTAGGGGGAAAGGGCGGACTTGAAGTAGAAAAGTACAGTAAAGTACAAAAAGTACTTCAAAGTCGCTCGAAATAGCTTAAAGTAGCTCGAAGTAGCTTAAAGTAGCTCAAAGTAGCTTAAAGTAGCTCAAAGTACTTTTTAATTACGTTTAAGTAGCTTCAAATTACGTCAGAGTACTTGAAATTATGCTAAAGTACTTTAAAGTATTCTTAATGATCTAGATATACATAGAACAAAATTAAATAGTGTTGAAAAACTATGAATGATTAGTTTATTCACTTTTTACAACAGTAAATACTAGTAAAACAGAAAAAAATGAAATAAATAAGTTTACTAATTATGACCAGATGTTTGTTGCATGACACGAGATAAACGATCACTTGATAATTTCGTTATCTGACGCGATTGCAGCCAGCAGGCCGATTGTTTGTGAAGATACTTAATATTGTCATTTATTTTGACTTTGAAATACGATTTTCTTATAGCAGGATTAATGTTATCAACTATTCTTATTTCATTAAAATCTGATTTTGTTGAATTTAATATATTTTCATCATCATCACTAACACCGTCGCTTTGAGCATCAAATAGAATTTCATCAATAAGTTGGCCTGGTGCATAATTGATGATGTCATTATCTTCGTTTTCTTCATCCAATCCAAACTCGTCAGGGGTGTTATTTTCTGTTCGGAAAGAATAATTAATCATTCTTGAATTTTTATTTAACATGTCGAAGATATAGCTACTTAAATCATTTAAACAATTTATTTTATGCTCATTTAATTTATCTAGTATTTTCGAATGTTTAACAAGGCGTAACGCTTGATCATATGCATTTGATATTAATTTTTGAATATCTAAAGTATCAATATTATCTAATTGATGTGATGATTGTAATGGATGTTCGCGTTTGTGTTTGTGATGTATGGGAAATGATAGATCTTTTTCCAGATGATTATGTTTAAATTGATTTAATATTGATAGTTTTTGTGAACGTCGCATAAAATCTTTTACGGTAAAATTGACGACCGTTGAGGATGTACTGCTTAATGATCTTGCATCTCTAAATAATGACTCGCATGATTGTGAATTGAATAAATGTATATTGATTAATGCTTGCTTTGGTAAATGTTGCTGTTTCACTAATAGTACTAAATATAGTAAATTGTGTGCGTTCAACTCAACAGACATATATGCAGGTCTAATAATAAAGTATTTGTTAATTTTATTTTTTCTGTTGCTTGTTGTTTGGCTGGTTTTCGATGATTTCAAAGTTGATGTTTTTTCTAAGCAAGACCACCAAAGGCGACACACAAATACTACACGCCATGCTGATTGAATATCTAAATACATAGAAAGTGTTAACAATTAATTAGTTTGACCTTTTTCGTTTCTAATGTTAAAAATGGACTTACGTTCATGAATACTTGTCGATTTATCAATGTATGCTTTTACTATCATTTTTAACAATGTTAAATAAACAACTGTCGCATTGCTATCTATACTATCATTAAGAAGATTTATTACATCGTCTGATATTAACTTAATACATGAATTATAATTTTGGCGATCTTTAGGATTAATATCACTTTTCGTCAAACCATGATCTAATTTTGTATAACTATTGTTATCGATTAGTTGTTCTATATGTGCCATACTAATTTTATCGTTCCCAATATATAAATCCGCTGTTGATGATAACAATCGATTACGCCATTTGGTAACGATATGTACCGGATCTTGAAAAAACAAGAAGAGTTGATTTCTACTAAGAAAAAACCAAGTCCAGTCATTCGGTATATTTATTTTAAATGCATGTTGATGCTTGTCTAATTTGAAATTGGGTAACGACGCGAAGAAATTACTGGCAAGACGCATGGCACTTATGTATTTGTTATCTGCATCTATTTACAATTAAGATACATTTGAGAGGAACATTGTATAAATAAAATTTAGCTGTAGAAAATCCGATAATGCGAACATCTTTATCTAAACAACGTTCAAAAATATACATCCATCGTCGTAAAATATCCATAGCTGTAAATTTGTTGTCAACACCATAAGCAGAGAGTAAAACTGGTTTCGGAAAATTTGTTGGATCATCTTCTGTTGATATACTTTGGAACATATGCACATTCAATAATGGTGCTGTTTTATTGGTACTATAAATGATTTTAAAATCATCAAATGTATCAGCTTGATAATGTTTCGTCAATGGAATACCATCAACAATTGGTGTTGTAAATCCAATGAATGAGTTTGTCGACGAATCGTATTCAACTTTAGGAATGACACCAGTAGTATCTTCAGAACAAAATCCAAAGCCTGATTGAAACTTTTGAAGTGAGTCAAATTTAAATTCTGCTTCAGTTAAAGTCATATTCGATATATTAATTAAGTCACCAAGTGTTGACAAATGCGGTATACTACCAGGCATATTTAAACGAACGAACTCATAGCATTGTTTACCACCGAAAATATATAAGCATATGGCAAATTTTTTAATTGATTCAGTGTATCTAAAATTATTTGAAGATTGTGTAAGATTGAATATCACATTATCGATGAACATCGTTAAAAACCTATTTGCTTTGTTGTTGTTTTCCGAGTCATTTTGTTGATACCATCTAATTAAAGATTTTAAAAGCGGATGCTTGTCAATAAACTCGTTAGATATAAATGTATCTCGAGTTTCATTATTTTCATTTAGTGTTAATTCTTCTTTTAGCTTCTGGTTTAATAATTTGATTAAATATGATAAACTGGTTTGAATACCGGGTTTAACAAAATGTTGTCCAGTTTTAGATTTAAAATAAGATTCAGCTTTTATTTTATCTGTTTCTTCAGATTCAATTTGAAAAAATGCGAATACATCAGGTGTAGATAACAGTTTTCTTGCCGAATTAATTAGGTGTATCCGTAAAATATTGAATACTGAATCACCGGCTAATGCTTTAACAATAGAAAAAAAATCATCATCCACACGTGTAAATATATCATTTGGTAAAACTGATGTATCAATTAATGAACTATCTTTGTCTACGCCGAAATTCATTTCGTACAATAAATTTTATGAGGATACCTAAAACAATTATGTTAATGTGCATAGAAATAGAAGGTTTCATGTATAAGTACGTTACCGGAAAAGACTTTAAGTAACGATTCTAAATTTGCCTCGTTCAATTATTGTTAAACAGTTTGTTAATATGTTCAGAAAAAATAGGATTAGCACGACTGTTACTTGAAAATTTATCTGAAACAGATAATAAGGATATTTGAAATCATAAAAATGTTATCAACAAACTATTGAATCATTCAAAAGAAAATATTGATACGATTAGCAGTTATTTTATGCGTCCTTTTATGTATTTAACATAATAAGATAACTAGACTTTTGGATATATTGAAGTGTGTAATTTAGCTCTTCTTTTATTTTTATATATAGCTTGATTGCGTTAATTTTGATCATTTTTACTAGACTCGTCATATCTTCCTATTGTATCAAAAATTTCTAACTTATGTATGGTTGAATAGAGCATGACTTGACCTATGGAATACCACACTTTTTCATTCTTTTACTTTTAGCCTAAGAGAGAAAATCTAGAAAGTCTCAAAAGGTGCAAAAAGAAACTTTTCACGATAATACCTCACACAGACGACACCTGTTTGTGGTGAAAAGAATTTCAGATTAATGAGAATTAACAAATATGGGTCTATAAATAGCACATCGTGAAATAGTTTTCAAATTTAGTAGAAAATTTCATTTTAAGGTCAGGATTGTAGACAAGCATACATTGCTAGGTTTTCAATGATATTTGCACCGTTCGAAAATCAAGTAAATATAAGAACGGAGCCATGACCAGTCGATGCAGTCGTTAATCTATCAGTGAAGAATACTCAAATAAATAAGTTATTGTCACTTAGTTGGCAATCTGACTAATATTCGAGATTTGATAGCTAATAAACTGTGCAAAATTGTCGAAGTCTCTTGCCAATCTAGAGAATATATTTGATGAAAATCATACAGTTCGATAAAGCGATTCAAAATATATCTAGTTGTGTGCAGACAATGGGAGTTTACTGAACAACTAAGTTGTAATTAGCAAATTTTGATTTCAGAATTACCATTTGAAAAAAAATGTTTTGAGTGTTCTTCAAAAGTCACTGACTGCTCTACCTTAGATGCAACATAAATCAATCGAAAATAGTAGCATTTGATAGATTGAGTTATTCTCTATCCAACTATATCAAAGTTAGAAATTTTTGATCTAAAAGAAAACTATAGAGAGTCTAGTAAAAATGATCAAAATTAGCGTAATCAAGCTGTACAACAAATTCATCATTTCTTGTAAGATGATAAATGAGAAAAAAAGCAGAAAAGAGACGGTCTTGTATGTAAAGAAGAAAAAAGAATGGAAAAAATAACAAATATGAACCAAATAGATCTGCATGAAAAGCAAATTTTATCGGTTTAATTAGGGAAATAAAACGTATATTTATGAATAAGTAACTGAAAAGTCATCTTGAATCATGTTGATCACAACGAATGAACGTTTGCGATCGCATTTAAAAAATATTCTTGACAAAAATACACCTTATGTAACATAATGACAGCAAGATCATAGACAGATTAATATATTCAATATAAAACAAAAGCAATATCTTGTCTAATTAATATGAAGCCGCAAATACATGTAGAAAATATGTTGATGTCGACATGTCGATATCGATTACTTATAATCCTTCATATTATTGAATTTTGATTTTTTATTTAATCTATTCCTTGAATAAAATAGCAGAAAATATCGTATTTTCATATTCAATATAATTGTCTTTTTATAATTATTATCCATAAAATATACTGCAAACTAACTATTTAATATCTTTCTATTAACAAATTAATTCTTCGAATCACATTTTTTTTCAAAATGTAGTGGTTTATATTATATTATTGTTTGCCAAAAATAAAATAACCTTTAACTATTATCCACATTATGTACGTACAGTCATATTGAGAAATTTTAAATAATTTAGTATATAGAAGTATTGAAAGTACTTGAAGTAGCCTAAAGTAGCTTAAAGTAGCCTAAAGTATCTTAAAGTACTTGAAAGTTCGTATGAAGTAGCTCAAAATCTGCTAAAAGTACTTTAAATTACTTCGAAGTACTTTAAAGTAGTTTAAAGTACTTGAAGTACAAAAGTCCGCCCTTTCCCCCTTGTGTAGCACACTTTATACCGAAACGAATGCGAAGTGAACAGACAGATGTAGACGATGACACATCTACTGACAGAAGTATAAGCTTCCCGATGCTAGATGGTGAAGCAGTCTACAAATATCTGGGCATGGAACAGAAGCTAGGTTTAAAGGAGTCTGAAGCATGGGATCGTGCGAACGACAGGTGTTATGATAAAGCACATCGCTTATGGGATTCCGATCTTACTTTTCGACAAAAAGTGAATTCCTATAACACCACTATCATTCCTGTATTTAAGTATATAGCCAGTTGCATAATTAAAGGTAGTGGTACATACGCAAGTGTCTTAAAACGGGGCGAAGATCTAGATAAGAAGTACCGCAAACTCCTTGTGGAGCTTAAAGCTAGACAAAAATCCAGCTGTGTAGCAAGATTGTACCTGCCAGCTGAAATGGGAGGATATGGTCTCAAATCGATTAAGGACGCCATAGAGGAGTCCACCATATACCTATGAGCGTATCTCTGTACGAAAGCAGAATTAAAAGGATCATTAAATCTGTTTTTGGGTATGGTTAACCGGGGGAAACGATGTGTAGTTAGTGATGCAGGCAGCATTTTAAAGGCATATGATATAGACTATAAGTTGGAAGAAGTGCGTTCCACTGTCATTATAGATGGTGCTTCTTTTAACGACACAAGAACATTAGCAAGACACGTGGTCGGGCTAATGCGTACTGTCAATAACAACGGACGGTACAAAACATGGAAAGAATTAGAGCTAGCAGGACGTGTTCTACGTTCAAACTCTAGCATGGATATGATAGAGTCCTTTACTTGGTTCAAGCAAGGGAAACTATCATCGGTAGCGGTAAGGAATGCTCTAGCAGCTCAAGAAGGATGCTTAATAACGCGCACACATCCTTCACAGACACACTTGAACGATAAGAGTTGTAGAGCGTGTGGGTGCCATCTTGAAATAATTGAGCATGTCCTTTCAAGTTGTTCCAAGTGGTTGTCGAACCTATACGTTGACCGTCACGACTCAGCTGCTAGAAACATACACTATAGAATATGTCAAAAATACGGTCTCACTCCTGCACACTACTCACAGAAAGTGGAAACGGTTCTAGAGAATTAGAGGATAAAGTTGTATTGGAATCAACCAGTACAAACCAAAACGATCATTCGCCATAACAAACCAGATTTGATAATCTTCGATAAGCCAGGAAAGACAGCCTTGATAATCGAGGTTGCAATATCATGGTTTACTGGTATTGAAAGACAGGTACAAATAAAAACAAATCGTTACTGTGTCAATGGTAATTGGGAAGAAGTTACGAAACTGCCATACCCAATAGGAGATAATTTACTACGTGAATTACAAACTGCGGGATGGGAAGTTTCGTTCTTACCGGTGGTCCTTGGCACATGTGGCGAAGTGCTTTCGAACCTAAAATGAGATTTAATGGAAAAAATTGGCTTAGATAAGGTAGCAACTGGCGACTGTCTTGAGAGAATGCAACGTAGCACGATTTTGGGAACGAGCAGGATCATTAAAAATCACCTTGCTGTAAGATAGGAAAATGGTGATGTCTAATGACCCGTCGTGCTTGCACATGCGGAATTAAATCAATGACTTTTGGGAAAAAACAAGAAAGGTAGTGATTTTAACATCGGAAAAAGTCATTGAAGACCCTTGTTCCATATATCATCTTAGGAATATTGTAGCTGAGAGTGAGTAACTCCCAGTATCGGTGGGCTAAACCCCAGCGAGTGTCTAAAACGGCCGAGGCGACTCGGAAATGTCATGTAGGAGTACACCCTTATACATATTTACGCATGCTTGAACATAGACAAGAACCCATACCAACAGAAAAACTCCCGTTTATTTCATTCATATCTACTTCTGATACAGCAAAAATGAATTCTTTGTGTGATGTTTTCCGCCAAAGATACTAATCAAATATTGTACACATGTTGAAAAGCTGTTCTCACACTTTATTTCAACATATGTGTCAGTTTGATGCCACTTCTAGCCCCTAATCAAACCCATTAGAGATACACCGTTGACATTGATTCGATGAATCCCAACAGCCTGAAGCGTTTCTTCAGAGAATTTTTCAGCGCAGCGGCTAGCCGCTGCCACATGTAATTCTATTCCTCCATAAGACTAGATTTTTTTTTCACACTCCATCTAATCTCAGACTCGGCTTACTTCGACAAATTGTTAGATCTGTAGCATAAGAATTCTCGACAGGAATTTCTCAATCGAAACTATGTTGTGAGCTATTCCTAATTTTTTTGATGTCGTTGTCTAGCTGAATAACCAAAGTTTTATTGAAATTCCTCATTAAGGAAACTTTAGTGCAGTCCTTTCAAAACTAGCTTTTACACAGATCTTTTGTGTGGTGAATTTGTAGTGCACTTGCAATTTCAGCGACTAGTCGCTTCTTTTACGCTAGTGCACTTGAATAATAATTGTTAATTGCCCATTTAACATAAAAGATATGACCTCATTTACATATATTCGTTTTATATTACTTTCTTTGAGTTATAGAGGCTCGAAATTCCACGAGTCAGCACACCTGAAAAAATATTCAATATTAAAAATACGATTTTTTTTCATAATAATAAGACATTACAATTTATTGCCACATCTCAGTTTAAGACCCTCGCTTATTGATGCATACATTCCTTGAGATCATAGGTTTAACCATATGAAAGAACACTGGTGAGTATGCCAGCAAAATCCGTCCTATTTGAAAATTACAAGAAAACCTAGCTAATTTGTATCCATTTTCTCCATCATTTCAAAAGACACGGGTGCTATTTTTTGTGCATAGATGTCTTTTATAATGTC